TGGCCAAGTGTGAAAAAACACTGATTTAACCAATATTTTTATCTTGATACACAACACAGGAACGACAGGCTTGTTGTTTGACCATGCCAAAAATTGCAACGTAGAAAGGCCGTAATGCAAACTTATTCACCAGCCCTCTAAAGTCTTTGTCTCTAACCCTGGAGTAGCAAGCAGAGATTGGAGAACAGCGGTCAACGGGAAAGCATAGGCTTGGAACAAAGTGTTCCTAGAACAGTCCCCTGTGGCCAGAGCCAGCTCTTTACACGGGAAGTAAGTGACTCCCTGCTTTGTGGCAAAATGCTGACCAGGTGGACATTTATTACCGTTATCGTAAGCCACTTCATTAACAGTCTAAAGCCAAGCTGAACAGAGGGGTTATAGAGAAAGGAGGGGGGACTGATAGAAGGCTAATAGAGTTCTGCTGTTGATAGGAAGTTAATAGAGAGCTGCTGTTCCTTTGATTTTTCCCACCCTCCCCAGCTCCTGAGACGGCTGAAGGATTTACCCCCTCTTCAGTTCTTCTAGCTTGTCGGCAGCCCACTTCAGCTCCCGTTCAATCTCTTCCAGTTTCTCCAGCTCCTGAGCCTAAAGACAAAAACAGCCCCCAAGAAAAAGTTGGGTTAAAAAAGGGGGGAGCAACCCAGCTGGGGCCTGATTTCAGTCTTCTCCATCCAGGATGTCCTCCAGAGGTGTGGACTTCCACTCCCACAATTCCCCAGCCCGGATGGTTGTTGCCGAGAAATGTGAGACTGGCCCGCCATTTCCAAACTGGGGGGAAATGTTTTGGGAGGGTGAAGGGCATTGTAAGCCATCTTCGAAAGAGATGATGTCAGGATACTGCTTAGCAAGAAATAAGTCTCCTCAGGGCCCCACAAATGGGTCACTTCCAGAAATTCACAATAATTCACTCCAAGAGTTTCTCAACTCCCGATGCTAGTGCCATCATACTGATTGTACTTTTGCTAAGAGAGTCAGCTTGACACTGATTGATCAAGGGCCAGATCACGCCTGCTGGGATCCGATTTGGCCTTTACATAAATTCCTGTTTATACAGTCACTTGATGGGGCCTTGTAACCTACAATGGACAACTGCCATCACAGATGGTGATGAGGACAAAGGAGCTTTGGCAATTAGCCCCTAACATATCCATATCTAGGAGAAAACACATAACTTTTTAGAAGCCTAGATCTTCACCTCCTCCCTGATATTCCCAGCTACTCACAAATTCCCCCTTTTCCCTCCTTAGCTTTTGAAAGCAGAAACCATCAAAACTGAAGTTTTTTTTTTCATCAAACCAGCTGATAGGTCCTGCAAAGTGACTCTGTTTTGACACTGACCTTACTCTGGCTGGCTTCCTTTTCTTCCTCATCCTCATCAGGATCATGGTGTCTACCATTCAGATAAACTTCATCCTTCCAATGTCTCTTCCTGAGGTCCAAGCCAACTGATTTATGGTGGTGGCCATGTCTCATCTTGCTGTGGTTCTCCTCCTCCTCTGCTTCTTCCTGCCATGGCTTCCAGTCTTTATGGAGGTGGGCCTTGGAGTTGGAATTTTTAAGACCTTTCTCTTTCTCTTCTTCTTCAAACTGGGCTGTCTCCTCATCACTAGCCTTCTCAGCCACTCTCTTAGCCATATCAAATCTTTTCTCCTCTTCCTCCCAATTCTCATGATCATGATATCCTCCATGATGGTATTTCTTTTGCTCCTCTTCTGAGGTGTCATCATTCTCTTCCTCACCCAACCTAAGGCGTCTCTTGATCATTTCATGTCTGTTCCAGCCTTCTTCATCTTCCTCCAGCATTCCCTTTCTGATTTTGGGCTGCCTAGGACCTCTCTTCTTGATGTGGCCAAAATTTTCCTTTGAAGACCATGTCTCTGAGGAGCTCCTCTTCTTTATTTCTTTCTCCTCCTGCTGCTCCTCTTCAGCCTGTTCCTCCAAAGTCTCCTGAAGATCCTCCCCTTGGGAGACCTTGATTTTCTCTTTTGTGTTTTTAGTTTTCTCATACTTGTTCATCTCCTCCTCCTCTTCTTTTTTCCTTTCTTCAGCGTGCTCTTCCATCTTCTCATGGGCAGCTTCTTTCTGCCGGGCAGGCTCATCCTTCTTCTTGATTTCTCCTTGCTGCTCTTCTTCCCAAGCATTGTGGTTACTTCCCTCGTCCAGGCGATGCTTTGCATTTTCTGGGAAATGAATGGAAGAAATTATCAGAAAGCAATCAGATGCATTTTGGGAGAAGGAGCAAAATATGCCCCTCAAAGGAAACAAATGCTCTACCTCTGAAAACATTTGTCATGTTTGCACCTGCTTGCAGAGTTCCCCCCCCCCCATCTATTTGCTGTTTCGGCACAGCAATTTCACAACATGCTCTCAAACAGCCCTGCTGCCATTTAGGAGCATGGTCAAATAAACACCAAGCCCCATGTCATTGAGGATGACTCTTAGAAGAAACACCACTGCCAACCTGCCCATTTTGGAGTGCTTGGCAAGAAGGGTTGCAGCCCTCTCCTCTGCTTTCCCAAAAGGCAAAGTATCAGAAATGACGTTTCAATGGGCCCATATTTTTCTGGCGACCACCTTTTAAAAAAAGTTGTCCATTGGAACATCCAATTGGTTTTTTTTCCAGAAGAAGAAAGATGGTGGTCCAAACTGCAGCTCCTGAGTGCCCACCCCCCCGAGACACCCAGGCATGAGTGGGCCCAAGATGGCATCCTAAAAGGGGCCCCAACTCAGGAGCTGCCCCTCACCCTCCACCTAGCAAAGAATTGAATTCGAGAAGGGAGCCACTGACCTTGATGGGTAAGTTCCTCCAACTCCGTCAGCAGATGCTGATGGTGAAGCATCGCGAGGACTCTCTCATCTGAAATGGAGCCCAGGTTAACCATCTCAATGCATGTGTGCACATGTAATGCAAGCAATTCACAGTGCGCAGTGTGGGAGACACTGGAAAGCAGGACAACCCAGTGCAAGGGATTTTCAAAGTTGGACTACCAGTTCCGTTAAAATTAAATTTGGCTGGTGCGATAGGAGTTCTAAGCACCTAATTAAGGGAAATCCAGGTTGGCTTTTGAGTAGTATGCAGGAAGGCTCCACCTCATGATGATGATAATGGGACTAACATAGTTTTTGACCTGCTCCCTACATCATCATCATGTAGGATTTCATGCTAGCATTTCATGTTGTTTTTCAATTTAAATCTGATTAATTCAATCCCATTCATTGGGCTATTCCCCCATTGGTTTAAGAATCGTCCCATTTTGGCACGTAGTGACCATAATGGTCACTATCAATAGGACAGATCGGTGGCAACTTCGGATGCTTCTGGTTCTGAGGCTTCCACTTGGACGTGCTCCTCAGGGGATAATTACCCAGGACCCTCACTTGGGGACAATCCAAGCTTCCAGGTATTACAGTACCCTTACATTCTGGTGCTCTTCTGCCCTGCTTGTCAACTGCTACAGCAGGTAGAAGAGAAGGGTGGATCAGGGCCAGGAATGGCAGCCGACCCTTCTCTATTAATCCCTGGTTGCTTTCCAAGTTCAGGTGTCACCTCCTGGCTGGGAGCAAGCAAGGGAAGCGTTTCATCCGCAGTGGGAATTGAGCAGAACCTGCTCTGCCCGCAGAGCCTTGAGATCGTTCAGAAAGAGTCCAGTCGCACCTTTTGAGACTAGCAAATTGGTTTCAAGGCAGGACCTTTCATGAGCTGCAGCTGCTTTTGAATCCAATTTGCTAGTCTCAAAAGGTGCTACCAGACATCTTCTGAGTTTGGCTCCCTCCGCCAATGTCTCCACTGAAATTCAGTTTCTTTCACAAAGAACCCTGCTCACCCCCAAATCACCACTTACCCTCCCTCAGGATCTTCATGCATTCACTGGTCACTGGGATTGGGCTGGGTCTGGAAAGGGTGTCTGCTAAGATTTCGGAGATGCACTTAATAACCTGGCCAGAAAACCAGAAGAAGACAGTTTAGTGGTGGAAGCTGTTTCAGATGGCAAGGGTCTCTTTTTCCAGCTTTTTGTCCTAATGTAGCAGTGGAATGGAGATCTTCTCTTGACTCTTTTCCCACCCAAGTGAAGTTCCTGGAGCTTCAAAAGCTCTGCAGCTTTCAACGATCAAAGGAGACACACCCTGACATCATGGGACAAGCTTTGCCTGTTGCAGACCTACCAACAACCCCCCCCCCCATACAAAGTTCATCTCTCCCAACTCCTCTTCTATTATAATTTAAAGTCATGTTTTTTTCCCCTGTTCTATCCTGAAGGTCTGGTTAAATGGAGAGTGGAAATAATTGCAGCCTTAGTCCTCAGCATGGAGAAAGGGAATAAAACGGAAGGGGAGAATGTTTATCCACATCTCATTCCAGAAATGATGATGACTGGGATGTCTTATACCAGTGTTTCTCAGCCTTGACAACTTTAAGATGTGAGAATTCTGGGAGCTGAAGTCCACCCATCTTCAATCTTCCAAGGTTGAGAAACACTGTTTCGTACCGTTAGCCGGGCAAAGGAATAAATAAATCCCTTCTCTCTTGCTTCATTGCACCCTGTATTGCACACCACTTGCCTTTGACACTCATTGTACCACATTATAACACAAGGGGGCATTGGGTAATTCTTTGAAGTTGAGCCCAGTTCCTGAAAAATCATGCCTGTTACAGTCCTAGCTTTTCTATCCTCCTGCTAAAACATAGGAATATGATATTCCTCCATCAAAGATTTAATTTTAGCTTTCTGGTCTGTTTCTTTCTAACAATATAGGTGACTTCTCCCTCTTCCTCTTCCTCTTCCTCTTCCTCTCTCCCTCTCTCCCTCTGTATATCTCTATCTATCTATCTATCTATCTGAAGGAAAGAGAAGAAGAAGATGAGCAGCAGCAAGATGGATGGACTCAGTTACAGTGGTGATGAGTGCACCATTGGGAGACATGAAAGAACAGGTTAGGGGCAGATCGTCATGGAGAAAATCTATGTAGTTGCTAAGAGTTGAAAACAACTTGATGGCACATAATCAATCAATATATCTATATACTCTCCACTCGCTCTCCTCTGCCTTTTCCATTACCTTTTCATCTTCCTTTGACAGCTGAGTAGGTAAGGGCAGTGAAAGTGCTGGAAAAAAAGAAGAAGAGAAACCATTATACTTTGCCAAATATTTACACACACCTAAATTTCAGCAGCAAAGCAGGCTGCTTGATGACCTTGCTAGAGTTTGTACTCACAACTGCCCTAATATTCTCATGTTCCTCTTTGTGAAACGGGAATATGACTTTGCTTGAAGTGGAGGTGGGATTTAGGCTTTTAAATTTAGTTGGCGAGGGAGCAGATATAAAGAGGTTGTGTTCCCTTTAAGCAAGTCCCCCAGAGGTACCTTTGCGGTTTGCTTTCGGCCTACGAAACTTCCCTAAACTTCATTATGGTGCAACTGGCAAAGATGGAACAGACTTCTGGGCTCTGCACCTGCTTCCCCAGGGTGCTGTGTTTGACCCTGAGCTGCTCTTGAATGGTCTTATTTAGATTTATTGTGTAATCACCCTAGTCAATGTAAACAGCTTTTCATAGGAGAAGGCATGCAAAATTGCTTTCTGTGAAGAGATGCCCTTTAAAAGGCAAAGTAAAAGCAGACTCGAAGAGGGTTGACTTCTGAAAAGCCAACCCTGTCCGTTTTGCATGGCATCAGAGCTCCAAATGTTCATCAGGCCTGATGGAGGGGGCAGACGCCGGTGGTGTAATATCTGTCCAGGTGATGCTGTATGTATTTTTCTCTCTCGCTTTCTTTTAATTTGGCAAGAGCGTGGCCTACGGAGCAGCATCTGTTGGTCGAGGGAAGAGACAGCTGTTCAGGGACTGTGAAAGGATCTCCATTATGGCTCAGTGACACACTCCAATTGTTAAGCCAGGGACATCCTGTGCTGTTGCTTGAGAAAAAGAAACTGCCCGTTTGTTTTGTAGCTGTCTTGTATCAGGAAAACCAAAGCAAGCTCTGATTTAAAATAGGAGGTTCCTCCGTGATGGGGACCATCTCACTCCATCTCCAGCTTGGGTTGCCAACTTTCCCTTTTCTCCTCAGAGCTGCCTTCCTAGGCTTTTTAGCAGCAGCAAAAGCACAGAAACGGGACAGATGAAACATTCCCTGTGTTCGTATCTCCATCCCAGGAAACGCTTCCAGCTGCTACATCTGGGCAGTTGCTGCTCAAGGAAATGCTGGCAGGTGGTCAGCAAAAGTTTGTCTCCAGTTGGAAGAACAGTGAATAATATTAAAAGTGTGACACACGCGCACACCCTTTGTAGTCCCCTTTAGAGATCCACTGTTGGCTTTTCAAATAAGCCACCGTCAAGGACCAAGTGATTCCATCCATGCCAAAGGGGGTCTGTGCCAGAAAAGGTTGTAATTATGGGATGAATCACTCCCAGGAGTTCCTCCTCTGTCCCCTGGCATGGAGAGATGAGAATCTAATAGCTGGGGAAAACCAAGAGGAGGACTAAGTTTTTCAGGTGTGTCAATCCTGCTTACATAAGACTATTACATAATGCCAGATACTGCACAACAACAGTAAAAGAAAAAAGAAAAAGAAAAGAAAAACCCAGAACAAGCAGAAAACATCAATCATGTAATGGAGGCAGCTACCTCTCTCCCCACCCCCAGCCCCAATTAACCCTGTTTCCTTCTAAACGTGTCGTGCTGCTGGTTCCTCCTCTTCACTGTTTTAGATGAGATTGGAATGGTTTTTTTCCCTATGCCCTTATTCAGTGAGGAGCTCAGTCCCAGCCCGAATGAAAAACCCGGAGCTCATCAGCACTGCTGTCTCCTAAATAACCTGTGGGCATCACAGCTCTTATAGACTGGATGCCAAATTAGAGGAATATCTGATTGGCTTGGCATGGAGTCAGTTCCCTGACCCTTTCCAGCTCTTTGGAATCTGTGCTTGCAACAGTTTTAGAATTGCAGATGTGAGGATAAGCGCCGGGGAACCTCTGCCCGTAGAGCATTAAGTTCTAACCACTGAGATTGCCCCTCCAGCTGGCTGAATGCTGGCCGAAGGGTCCTGTATTTCCCAACCCAAGTACTGGAACCAAAACAGAAAACAAGGAATTCAAATTATGTAACAGCCAGCGGCTCCAGTCGCTGCTTTTGAACCCCTGAGCCGATCGTCCAAACTTCCAGAAGGTCAGCCCCCACAGTTCTGATGTGGCCCAAGAAATTCACTGCCCAAAACATCATCCCAGTCATTCCATTTATTTTTTAAATCAAAGATTAGGAAGAAAAAGTCATCTTCATCTCGGAATGTTTATCGGTATTCCGAGTCTACCAAAAAGAAACAAAAACCTTCAGAACTAGTTGGTCAGGAGGAGTAGAGAAGTGAAGTAACCTTTAATCATGACAACCCTTCCTGGCATGATCACCTGCTGTGGGTCAGAGGAGGCAACCATACAAAGAGTAAAAGAAGAGTGCAATGGCTTCAACGCATCACACTCTCAAGTGACCCATTCTTTCCAGCTGGACTTGGTGAAGGACCTAAGCTGGGTGAAAGAAATAGGACAAATGGAGAAGATCTCTTGTCTTTAAAACACAACCACCTTCCAACAAATCCTCTTTTTTCCCATCCCTAAATTCAGTTGCTTGCAGGGAAACCATAGCACATATTTTGCATTAATGGTGGCCCATCATGAAAGTGAATGAGGGCTATTGGGAAGAGTCCTTTCGGATACAAACAGTTGATTGATGGGTAATTAAGAAATGTCCTACTTTTTTTAAGACTGTCCCACCGGTAGGCCAGGAAGGAATAAGAAGATTTAAAATGTTCTGAGATGTAGTCTAGTAAAGTTGTAATTTTGGAATGCCAGCAGCATGTAGCTTTAATGTTTTCCCAGGAGTAGGGAAAATGCTTAATCTAAAAAACTTAAGGTTGAATAGGTAGCTTGTACAAGTCTAGACTATTGTTTCAAGCACAGGTAAATTAAGATATCTGCATGGCAACGAGCTGGTAGAAGCTAAAGTAAACTCTAACATGGAGAGAGTAGAAGATTGCGGTCCCACTGGTGACTTAGTTAGAGACGCTAAACAACTTGTTCAGCTCCACACACAGGTTCTCTACTCAAAACCTCCTTGCACAAAACACCTTCCATCAAGTTCTCTCAAAGGAAAACTTGCCCAGAAATTCTCGGCCACCCCCTAAAGAGTAGAGAAAAAAGAATCTGATTCAAAATGACATCATGGGTTTTAGGGTGTTGAGATCTTGTGGGCAGAGCAGATGGGAACTTTCTCTGTATGCGAGGTTGAGGTGTTAATACTCCCTTTAGTCTGGTTGCTCTCTGCAATCTGCTGAAAGGCCCGTTCTGTGCTACGCAAAACAACTTGTGCGCCGTGGATAAGAATACAGTGGAGAACATCCTCTACCTCTACAGAGAGCCACAATTATACTAGCGAGGGGCAGATCCATCTCTGTGAGAGCCTATGAAGAGGTTGCTTGGTATTGCAGACAGGGCTGAGTTTTTCAGGCTGCAGGTAGGAGGTGTCTGTTCAGGTTTCCAGTTCAATTTTTCCTAGGGTACAGTTGTCAATTCCAGTGATAGAGTTTTTGAGCAAGGTGGAGGTAAGGTAGTTGCAGATTTGGACACCCTAAGCTTTGTGAAAGGTATAATGATGGAGCACAACCAGGAGCTAATCTGCAGCTCATTTCAGTTGGTGAACAAACCACTGGCAGAACAAGGCTGCTCTTAGGGGCCATCTTTTTCAGTTAAGCTCTAATGAACTACTCCATGTGGACTGAAGAATAAATAAATATTCTTTCTGTTGTTGGTACCTATTTTCCAGTTGGGATGAATAGCCGTAGAGTCTGTTGTTCAGTGCAATGAAAGAAATTGCCTTAGCCAAGTATCCGTCAAAAAAGAATTTATCCAAGACTGGGTGTGAAGTCAACTAATCCCATTCGGTCTCTCAATCTTCAAGTCTTTGCTTTAGAGCAAGGATGAGGAGGACAGATCTGGGCAGTCAGATCTACCACAATGCCATTTATTTATTAATTACTGATTTTAAATTTTTTTAACAAGTGATATCATGGCAACAAGTCAGCTTTTGGGAAGGAGATGCCCAGTAGGGCACACTGGAAGCATCAGAAAAAGAAAACAAAAACAAAAAACCTGAAAATGCAAAGTTAATTCCCCTTATGATATAAGTAATACCAATAACACCAACAGGGAATTATAAAACACAGTCATCCTTTCTGTTTATTATGACATGCAGGTTTAAAGTGTTTAGCAAAACACTTTAGACAGTAGCAACTGTCTAAAACTAAAGACACAGAGGAGCAATGACCCAACTATTTTTAAAAAAATTAATCTGTTTCCTAGAAATCCTGATTTAGTCTAAAAACAATTTATGACTGAGGTGGGATGCCAATTATTTAAGAATGGTGGGTCCAGGCAAATAACCGGTACACCACACTGCCCCCTCTCCCTGCCACAACTAACCAGTACAAGACATTGCCCACAACGCAGCTCATTTGTTGCCAGAAATTAAACAGCAAGCCCGTGAACACAATCCAAGTATTTCAGGAACAGAAAAGGGGAGGGGTGCATGCTTTAAAAATTGCCTGGATAGCATCCGTGCACGAAAAGGGACAGGATTGAAGTCTCAGCCTTCTTGGGACAAAAAAGGCACCGCTCTCCATGGTGCTGAAATTCTCAGAGGGTTGGAATTCCGCCCAAGTTCCCAAGACCATTATTTGCGCAGCGCTGGCCGAGCATGACTCTGCCTTCGTCCGGACGAAACCCGAATCCGAACTCATAGTTCTTTTAGCTGAACGGGAAAAACGACTGCAGGTATAACAGCTTGTTACTGTCATACACCACATGGCATGTTAAAAAGGCACGTCTCTCTTGAAAAAGAGCCTTCCCAACAGAGGGAACAAAGGGGTGGCTTGGAAAAATGGAGAGGATTTTTTTAAAAAATGCATCTGGGGAGATTGACCGATGCTGAGGATCACTCCGGCAGAAAGATTTCAAGAAGAAGCCCATAATGAACTCCTAGCTTAAAAGCTATTCAGAATTACTCTTTTTGTTGTTTTTGTTTGAATGAAAGAAGCAAATTGTCCTCAGTATCCTGGCCTTCAGGTAGATTGGACTCCAACTCCTATAAGCCCAAATCAGTGTATTTGAGGATGTAAGATTTGCAGTCCCACAGTGGGAAGGTAACAGATTGGGAAAAGCTGATATAAGGCATATTTTACTCTAACCACCAACCGAATACGTTCACAGGTTACACTCCCCTTTCCTCCAAGTACAAAAATCTCAAAAGAATGACTGGCCATCGATTCTGAGAAGCCCCTTTTCCTGTTTTGCTACATTCAGGCAAAATCACGAGCTTCCTGGGGAGGTGGGAGAAACAGCAGGAAAGACCCTCAGCTACTGTTCCAAAAACCAGATTCAACACCCCAACCAAGGACATCACCGGAGAACATAAAGCTGTTTCACTTATCTGCATTTTAAGTTAAAGAAGAAATGTTGTAGGTGGGCTGTGCCCTGGTGAGGCTGCTTAAGTGCTTAATAGAGCCCTATTGAAAGAATTTAAAAAGTGGAACTTTGGAGGATCCAAAGCTAGGGGAAAATTTACTTGCTTCTCTCTCAGGAATGGAGGGCTGGTGGGAAAGGGAAGAGACTGAAACCACCCTCCAGACTTACCTTGGCAGAGGAAAAAGAGCAGAAAAGAAGCTGTTTGGGAAAGCATAGCTCAGATCCTGAGAAGGCTGCCTCTCTGTCCCTCTTGTGCTGGTTGGTTTTATGAGGAAAGAAAATGAGATCAGAGAAGAGTGGGAAAGACTCAAAGATGGGGCAGAACCCAGAGCAAAGGAAGGTCTGCTGTTGATGCGGCGAGCAAATGTCCTTGGATGTTGGACTCGAAGGACTTATTTGCATGGGAAACTGAAGAGAGACGCATCTGAGACTTTGGAGAAAGGGCGGAGGAATGCTAAGTAGGAAGGCTGGGGAGGAAGTGATGTCACCTGCTCCTAACAGAAGGTTGGGGGGGGCCTCTTTACCCGTGTGCTAATGAGACCCCCCCCCTTTTAAAAGCCCCTATCTGATGGTTATAGAATTCATGCACGATTTAGCACTGCCTCCCTCCAGCTGGAAGGGAGCGGGATCATTTTATACAACCCCAGAACTATAAGGGGGGAGAGGAGGAAAGATACCAAGTGCCGGGGAAATGTGCACAATGCTTTCAGAATGAATGCGTCCCAAGCTTGTAATGCGTATTAAGCGCATGATGTTAAAATAGGCTAAGTTGCATTAAGCTCAACGAGGCATTGCCCCACTCAATTAGCGCACAGAATTACTGCCTGAAGTGGCAATCAGTCAGCAACTATTTGGAAATGCTGCCTAAACTCAGAGGGATTTGAGTAAATCTACTTGGCGTTAGGTTACACAACTGAGCACACACTCTAATCTCAGAAACTTAAAATACAATTACGACATCAGACCCAATTGAACTTGGTTGCCCAATTTCCTGGAGAGACTCCGCCTGCCCCATTTTCCCAATGAGAATAACATGGCCCAAGGCAGACCAGCCAAATCGTGATTATGGGAGGAGGCGATTAAGTGTCAGAAATGAGACTCAGCACGGCGAGGGTCTTGAACTACAGTTGCAGTTAGAAACAAAATCGCTTCTCACTTCCGTGAAGGAAACAGGATTCATTCAGCTCCACGGCTTTCACTGAAAAATCGACGTCCTATTTTCCTTCCCTTTACACTCAGGATCACAGAGAACCAGAAGGTTGTTCTGCTCCCAAAGCACACAACGGAGCTGAAACCGTCCTTTATGGGAAATAATGGGCCCAGCACCTCTACCCAACCCCCCCCCCGTGGTAACTACACACACCTGCAGGCGCCCATCACGTCAGCATTTTCAACATCCCCTGGCCCACTTATTCTTCTCAACTTATACAGGCCCCCCCTTTGCTCCACACAAACTAAACAGAAGAGCCGTTTCCATGGCAGCCTGCCCTCCCCCCTTGACTTACCATGGCTAGCTCCACCGGTTGACCTTTCTTTTTATCTCCTGGCCCCTCTTCTTTTGTGGCAGGGCTTTGTTTCAGAGTCACGTGTGGAGGACCGTGGCGTGCAATCAACTTGTGCAATAGGACAGCTGTTGGGCAGGGCTCACAGGCACCTGAGAGGCCACCTGACAGCTGGAGCCACAGGAGAGCAGGGTTGCTCACCACCAGCAGCTGGTGGCCCCTCTAGAACAGGGCTTCATCACTGAGTTACCCCAGCCCTGGGCAGAGGGGGCACAAACCCAGGAGGCCCATCCCAAACAGGAGGGCACCAGTTTTGAAAGGATGCAGACAGAGCAATACTTTTCATTCAAGGCCACAACAGAAGCCAGGTAAAATATCGCCCCAATTGTTTATTTATTTACATACGTTATTTCTACCCCACTCATTCCCGGTCAAGCTAGCCCCCAGTGGTTTGAGATTTACAAGACCATGAATTTCAAGGGACAAAAACAGCGGAGGACAAAAAATTACATGGGTGCAGAATTGAGGAAGCAGCAACCGGAGGCTGAAATAAACCTCCTGCTCCCGTCTCCGGGACCTCCCAGTCCCCGAAAGAGGTCTCCATCCTTCGGAGAGGAACGAGCAAGAACTGACACACCTCCTGTGTAGAACAGGCAGCTCCTTGAACAGACACTTCCACTGGAAAGACGCTCTGCCAGCTGGGGTTGATGGAGACATCTGGAGGACACCAGAAGGGGGAAAGCTGGTCTGCTCTAAGTCCTGATACCACCCAGAAGGGTAGCACTCAGAAATATAACTGCAGCAAGCCAATGTCTTTCCTCATTTGTGACTTTTACCGTGTGAACAGGTACGACGTGCCACTGGCAGAGCCATCTCTGACCACCAGTCCGTGGTAGAAGTGCTCTTTCTGTTCAGGAGGGGCTGCCCCATTGGGCAGCAATGTCCGGCACCTGATAGAGGGTCCTGGGTCATTCTAGTTTTTCCAGGGCTTTTCTGGGGTTAGAGATGTTTGTCTTTCTTGGCCTGGTTGGGACCAATGTATTTCAAGGGGGTGTGGAGGGGTTTGTAGATGATCTCCATGCCCATCAGAGGCTGCAGGACCGCTGGGATCTCAACGCTGCCATCCTGGGCAAAGGAGAAGGTAGGGTCAAAAGCCGAAAAGGATGATCACGGTGCATAGGCTCACTTCCTCTCTCTGCTTTATTTACAGCATAGATGTTCCTGAGACTGCAGTTGTCCTTTGCAGGGTTTAAGCCTTAATTCTGACTTATTCCTGCAGCTAAAAATTGGACTGCAAGTGCCAAAGACAACCAGAGTTCATTAAGATGTATATAACAGCTTTCCCTAAGCTGCAGACCTCCAGGTGGATTGGGACTACAACTCCCAGAATTCCCCAACCAGCTTGGCTATTTGCTCTGTACTCTGGGAGCGGAGGTCCACGGAGCAGGAAGTAGGGAAGTATGATATAACAAGAGCTATGTGCACGCAAATGTCCTTACTATTTTCACAGGGAGGAAGCTGGAATGTTTTTCAAGCACACTATATCCTAGGAATTCTGGGAATTGTAGTCTCAAGGCACCTGGAAGGCTCCAGCTTGGGGAAGGCTGCCCTATACTGGAAACGCAGGCAAAGAAAATACTCCCTCAACAAACCTTGCGTTGGTTGGACTCCAGAATAGCAATGAGCATCCGGGGAATTGCACAGGCTGTTCCATTAACCTGCCAAGGAACAAAGCAGATCGTGAGTGTTTGGAAGCCATATGCAAGAAGCACTCAGCCCTAAGACTGCACAGAGGGGAAAAAAGGCATCACGTGGATGTGTTCTCCCTCTGCAGCCCCCACCCTCTCTATTCTTGAGACATCCGCCAAGGGACTCCCCGGGCTGAGCTTACAGTATGTGCAAAACTGAGCTGCTGATTCTGGTCGTAGTACTTGATATTCAACCGCCGGGTCTGGAAATCGGTGCAATTGGAGAGGCTGGAGATCTAGACAGGGAAAGGGTAGAATGAAACAGGATGAGGGCAAGGAACACGTTGGACAAATTGAAAAGAAACACACTGATGGAGCCATGAAATTGGATTGGCGTGGTCCAGGAAAGAGAGGCGGGACTGCCCCATATAGCCCAGAAGTGTTTATGAGGGGTTTCATTCCCTGCTTCCAAGGCTGAGATGATAAAAACTCAAGGCTATTCCTCTTGCAGATAACAGGTTAGCCCTGGGTTGGGGCTGAAGGGGAGAGAGGTAGATCTCCATCTCCTGCTTGTAACCCCCCCCCCGGACATTTGGTTGGTCACTGTGAGAAACAAAATTTTGGCCCCAAACGGGCCTTGATCTAATCCAGATTCTGTGTTTTCTTCTCTTTCACATTCAAAGCAAGACAGGTGGCTTCTCTAGAGAAGAGCTGTGAGCTGAAAATGGCTGGAGACCAGCAACAATTCCAGCATGGACAGCAAACCAGGGGTGCATCCGGGGGTTGGTCAAAAAAGTTACGATGTCAGTCACAATGGTGCGATC